TTACTAATCACTACAAAATACTAGAAAAATTGGAAGCAATCTGGCAGAAACTAGGTATAGACCAACATCTCACACTGTATCAAGATTAGCTCCAAAGTATCCGTGATTCAGATATAAAAGGTCCCCTCAAGCATAATGAAAGAACTATAAAGATACACTTTTTAGCTTTGCATAGGGGATGAGTTCACCACCCAACAAGGGACAGGAAAGATCACAGAAAATAAAATGGGCAATTTTCATTACATTAGAATCTAAAATGTAAATGGAGTTATTAACTGGGAAAAACCTTTGCAGAAAGTCTCCTTAATAAAGCTTTCATATCCATATTATTATAAACAATCATATGAGAAATATGTTCCACATCTATAATCACTAATGCAAAATGCTAATAATTAGAAAAATTTTAAGTTCGGTAATGGTAATAAAAAAATGAGAATCAAATATTGGGGGCATTTATTTTTATTGATTGGTTATTTGGTACAGAAATTTTGTATTTTTTTTTTCCTTTTCACCTAAGGGAGGTCAGGTCTGAGGGATAGGAAATGTTTGTTAATTTTAAAATAAAATTTAAATAAGAAAGATGTTCCAAATCACAAACAATTAGATAAATGCAATTAAGTCAACTCTCAAGTTCCACCTCACACCCATGTAATTGGCAAAGATGATAAGAAAATAACCTGTGTTGGAAGGACTGAGAAAATAGGCACATGAGTTAACTTCCTGTTGGTGAAGCTGAAGAAGTCACTACCCTTTGAGTCAGTGATACTACTCGATGACATTTTCTCTTGAAGAGAAGGACTCAAGTGTCCAAAACTTTAACAGCTCCCTTTGTTGTGGCAAAGGACTGAAAACTAAGGTGTGATGCCCTGCAATACAGCAATGGATGAACAAATTGGTATATAAATGGAACAGAACACAAATATGCCATGAAACCTGGGCAATGTCAGTGAAACCTGGGGAGAGTTATTTGATGATAACAACTGTGTAAAGGCCAGTCAGTTTGAAAGATGCCACATATTGGATTATGGCAATAACCAACCACTTTTGCAGAGGATTTATCAAGATCTGCATCACCTGCCTCCTGAATGAGAGGTGATGGACATAAGATATAGATTAAAGTATATTTTGGCACATAGTGTAGGAATTTATTTTGGTTGACTGCTTTCCTATTTTTTTTTTTTTTTTATTTTGGGTAGGAGAGGATGGCAGTGATAGAGTTAGGAATAGGATTACCCTTCCCCCACTTCAAAAAAAAAAGGAAAGGAAATTGATGGATTTTTAAAATTGTTGCTCGTCCGTTTTTGAAGAGGACCTATAATATCACAGGGTCATAACTTGTATGTGAATTGGATTTCAGTGAGTCAGAGTTGCACAAAGTCAGCCTCATTCTTTCAGAGTCAAAAGTCCAGTGGCAAGACAAAAGTCAGGACTAGCGGTGGTGGATGATCTTGGCATCTTCTATGTCTGACCAAACTCTGATCACTCTACAGCACTTGCTTTAGCCTCTTCATGGCCTTCGGAACAAATTGTTCTCATCCACCCGGGCTGCTGGGGAAGTCTTCGTGTTTGGGGTAGACATTCCCCTAACTTAGCGATGGGTTCGAGGCCAGTCAGTTACCAAAATGCATCTACCAGTGTGTGGCCACTGCTGCGGTTGCGTGGAGCCACAGGTGAGCGTTCAGTGAAGGTGGACACCAGAGGGGGGATGAAAAGGGTTCAGCAGCCTTCACACCAAACGTGCAATAGACTAGGAGGAAGTCCAGAAGGAGCGAGGATAGATTTGAAAGTGTCAGGTTGAAGTTTTTAATTACTCGAGAAAATCCAGCTCTCTCTATTAGAAGTTGTTTCACGTGTAATCCTCTTTTTGTTTCAGGGTGTGTAGAAAATGCTTCTTCTGTTTCATGTTTGTGAATTTCAAAATAAAAAATAAAACATAAATGGTTCCCTTTTGTCATTTGCACCAGTCGTGAAGGCATGACAGGAAATCGCAAAGTGATTTTGCTATGACTTTTGCTTACTGTTGGTGCTTTGGAATGTTTTCATGTGGTCATTCATTGTTGCCAGTGCTTTTGAAAACTTCATATCCTTTCAGCACTCAACTCTTAGCAATAGCTCTTTGTACACAATGGTGGCCCTTACATATTTTGGATAAAAATGAATCTTATTGGTCATTTTGACATAACGTTTGATATATTCTCCACTCTACAATTTCTCTGTGACGTTCCTGAATCCTCCACTACCCCATCTGCCTTTCCATGCCATCTGCCTCTGTACCACCTCTACCCTTTGTGCCTTATTAAAGTGTAATAGAAGCATTATTCCCCGGTGTGAGTGTGGTCTTTCCTGGGAGTACCCAAAGGACCAGAAATTCCCACCCCATTTCATAATTCCATGAGTTAATTAGAATTCATTACAATATTGCTATTATTGCATACAATGTTCTGGTTCTGTCCACTCCACTTTACATCAGTTCATATGTCTTCTCTGGGTTTTCTGAAACCAACTCTTTCTTATAGCACAATAGTATTCCACAATCATGACACAACTTGTTCAGCAATTCCCTAATTGATGGACATTTCCCCAATTTCTATTTTTTTTCTTGCAACCACAGAAAGAGCTACTATAAATATTTTTGTGCAGATGGGTCCATTTCCTTTTTCTTTGATATCTTTGGGATACTGACCTAGTAGCAGTAGAGCTGGGTTAAAGGGTTAAACAGTTTTCTTGCCCTTTGGCATTGTTCCAAATTCTCTTCCAGAATAGTTGGACCATTTCACAATGCTACCAGCCCTAATTCTGACTACCAAATAGAGGAAATTAAAAATATAAAAGGCTATTAAGATAGTGTTATAATTAGTCATCTGGGAGTAAGATGGATGGAAGACAAGGTTAGTTGAGTGGGAATCATGCCATTTGAATTATAAGTTACTAGTGTTGATCTCATTTCCTCACCTGTGTCTTCTTTCCAATGACACAGGAGGTACAAAGAAGAAAGGTTACTAGAGGATATGATGGAGATAATTGTCAAAAATAAATGTTAATGGAATGATTTCACCTCTCAAAAAAGGAGGGTAGCAGAATGCATTAGAAAGAACCTGACAGCCTGTTTTGTATAAGAAACACCTTGGAAATAAAGATTCACACAGCATTAAAATGAAGAGATGTCATGTAGTAATGCAATTTGGAACTTTGCTCCCAAAGGCACTCAACCATGTATCCTAGTGATAAACTACTAGTAGACCTACAAACTAAAGAGATGAAGGAGGGAAAAGACCTATCCACGTAACACAAAAGTATAGCTGCTGGTTTTTGTTGCTGAAAAGAACTAGAGACAAGAGTGGTGCCCATATTGGGAAAATGAATGAGCAAATGACGGTCTAAGAATATAATGAAATATTATTGTGCCAGAAGAAATGATGAAAGGCACAGTTTCAGAGAAACCTGGAAAGAGTAGTCTGAACTGATACAGAGAGAAATGAGCCAAGCCAGGAGAATAGTTAATATTGTAGTAACACCGATCAGTACCATGAACAACCATGGCTGTAGATCAGTGGTTCATTCTTAGAACCCCTTTCCACAACAACAGCAAGGGTGTTGTGAAGACCCCTGGTCATTTGATTATTTTTAATTAATATTAAATATTCTTGATATGTGCATAAAGTGCTTATGATAATGACCTGGATAACTTTTTTTCCTTAAAGCTCCAAATCTATACTTTCATTAAATTCTATAATTATAAAATATCAAATTTAATTCTACCTTTAATTATGAGAAATTTAAAAAATAAAATCAACTATAAAATAACTGAAACTTTGAAGTAGCGCTTGTAAGAATTTTTTTTTAATCCAGTAATAATTCATATTTACTCTTACTCGCAAGATTTCACATCAAATCTATTTCACAGATTTTGTTGACCGAATAACAATTTTTTTAGTCAACTAAGTTACAACTTGGAATATGTGGAACATAAAATATGAAGCTCATTTCAGAGTTGGACATTTTTCTTTGAACAAAGGTTTACAATATTTATTTCAACAGCCAACAAACCCAGTCTTCAGTTTGATTCTGCATCGTTGATTTAATAATAACAACAGAACAATGACAATAACAAGCATTGAGATAGTGCCTACTATGTGCCAGGCAGTGGGACAAATACTTTAGAGATGTCATCTCATTTATTTCTCCCCATAACACTGTGAGGCAGCTGTTGTGATTATCCCCATTTTGCAGTTGAGGAAACAGCTAAGAAGAGGTTAAGTGACTTGCCCAGGGTCATGATGCTAGTTAGTGTCTGGGGTGTTGTTTAAACTCAGGTCTTCCTGACTGAATGTCCAGTGCTTTATCTACCATGTCACCAGCTGTATTGTGATTTATAAAGAGAACATGGTGAAATGCTCACAAATTTATGAGTGAAATAATGAGAGAATTTAACAAGCTCTCTTGATGAGAGATGGAAATTCTTTTTTTTCTTTTAGCCCACAAACCAGCAAACAAAATTAATTGCTAGCTACAATATAAAAGATTTGTTTTACTATTGGCTGATGTGTAGTGTATTAAATTCAATTGCATATATTGCCTTCATTTTTAAAAACTTTATAAAACAACCACTGGAAGGAAAGAAAATCTCTTCAGACATACCTTTCTTTTTTCTACCACTAGCATACAGGCTAGATTCCCACAGAAACTCTACTGAATGATTCGCCCAAGTAGCAAACCAGTTCCTTTGAAAATCCAGATAGAATAGTAACATTAGAATATAAGCTAAAATCAGAAAATAGACTTAATGCTGCAAATGAGAGGCCATATAAGGTCTGTTTTTATTTTATTTTTTTTTTATTTTTTGCTATTTGGTAAGGCAATCGGGATTAAGTGACCAGCCCAGGGTCACACAGCTAGTAAGTGTCAAGTGTACACTCTGAGGCTGGATTTGAGGTCTGTTTTTATAGAACATCTGAGATAGTCCATGATGTCTTTTAATTGGCTT